ACTACTACTACTGCTCCTAGTACTTCGTACTAGTGCTACTACTACCACTACTACTACGACAACAACTACTGCTGCTACTACTCCTACTACTCCTACTACTACTACTACTACTACTACTACTACTCTAGTAGTAGTACTAGTGCTAGTACCAGTACTAGTACTAGTATACTAGTACTAGTACTACTACTACTACTACTACTACTACTACTGCTACTACTGCTACTACTGCTACTGCCACTACTACTACTACTACTACTACTACTGCTACTACTACTGCTACTACTACTACTACTACTACTACCACTACTCCTGCTACAACCACTACTACTACTACTACTACTACTACTACTACTACTACTAGTACTACCACTACCACTACCACTACCACTACCACTACCACTACTACTGGTGCGGCTGCTGCTGCCGCTACTACTACTACTACTACTACTACTACCACCACCACCACCAGTAGCACCACCACCACCATCACCACCACCACCACCGCGTATTTACAGGCTAAAAGTAATCACCAGATGTTACAACTGGCGAACACATGGCCAAGGCTCCCAGGCCCAGAAGGCAGTAGAGGTGTAGCCATCCATGAGCTTGTCGAGCACAGTCGGCTTGCCTGTTGCCTGAAAAACGAAGAATAATACTAATAGGAGTGATCAAATAATATCAAACACTTAGTTTTATACTGTAAACAACGTCATCTTCGGGCGTAGGGTTTAAGGCGCAATGATAGAACGTGCTCTTTCTTGGTGAAAGGTTCCTCGCGGCATAGGGCTCATTTCGCTTTGGCATCTGGCTGGCGAGGCGAGATTCGGCAAACCGACTCTTGATGCAAAGGGCCCTGCAGTGGAATTCGCGTGCGAGGGCAGTGGATATATGGCTTCGTGACACGATTCCGCTTCTTCGGATTGATGCTGCTAGTAGAGACCTGTCGGACGAGCTCCACAGTAAGAGGCATGAACTTGCCACAGCTTTAAGTCTGAGTCACACCTGAGTAAGCCCCATGAATCTATCCAAACTGCCGGTTACAAGTCCAAGGCCCCTGACGGGGAGAATCCTTGACAGCAAGCAAGCACCCAACTGAAAGTGTGCCTGTGGCTGGCCCCTGCGGTGGTAGGCGGCGGCGCAAATGCTGATCATCAGGGTCTCCAGAATCCACTCAAGGTCTGGTCCTGCTTCTGATCTTATATTCTTGGGGTTCAGAACCCTAAACCCTAAACCCCTAAACCCTAAGCACTAAACCCTAAAACCCTAAACCCTCTGGACAGAGATGTTGCAGCCCTGAGTGCAATGGCACCGCCTGGCAGCAACAGCAGTATAACCTGCAGCAACAGCTGCCGCAGGAGTCGGGGAATCCCCAGTATTGGAGTGTAGAGTAGTGGTGGTAGTAGTAGTG